TTTTCTTCTTACTTTTGGAGTTTGGATTCATTTTTATGGTCGTTTCTGCTTGTCCTCTCTCTATTATTCGTTCATCTTCATCTCTGATGCAATAATCACCCTCCTGAATGATCACTGGAAGCTGAGGATAGACGTCCTTAAACTCTACTTCTTTCTCATAAGGTGGGGGGGCTTTTTGCTGAATCCGTATGTGAGAAAGGTGTACTGACTTATGTCATTAGTTTTTCTGTCACCTTCACTTCTTTTACAATTTTCTCTATCTTTGTTTATTTTATCGTTCGTATCTTTCATCAGTTTTTGTCCTTCATTTTCAAACAGCTTAAGAACACCCCAGCTCTCTTTGTCTCTTTTCTTTAAGTTGTTCCCTTTTTTTTACCTTTCTTTTGATCTGCCTTATGAATTGACAGATGCACTTTCATTATGTTGATGACGTCAGGGTTAAGAGTCCCTTCCACTGGCCATGGTTGTTCAATGTCAGGCCAACGTTTATTCCATTTTCCAGATAACCTTGCAATACCATTAACTAGAGGATTACTATTTGTACTACATCAACAGGAGTAATTACTTTCATAGTTCTGATGTCCAGTTTCTCCCCCTTGTAACAACTCTTTTATATTCCTTTATTGTGAATTATTTTATTATTTTAGACTATATAGCTTATGGTTCCCTCCTTTTTAAATACATTTTTTTGTACTTTTTATTTATTAATTAAACAATTAATTAATTAATTAATCAATCAATATATGTATAATGTTTAATTTTTTTTATTTTACCAATTTATTAATTAGTGGCAATCTTACCACATCCGATCAGGAAAGTAAAGGAAAGTAGTCAACTTCAGAGCAATCCAAAAAGAAAGACCTGTAATCCAGCAACACTACAGTACTCACAAACCAATTGCTTAATAAGCACCCAATGACCTTAATTTTACAGAATAATGTCAGTACTCGATTCCCAACACAACTCTAATCAAACCAACTTATGCACAAAAACTCCAATATGCAATTACATCAATTGATCAGTCTGTTGCCAAGTCCCTGTCAAATTGTCACAACATCAAATATGCTAGGCACACAAAATATCCTGTATGGGAAGGTAAGTTTTGTAAATAGAACAGTACTGGCCTTAGTTTGACTGGATCCGTTGCAGCACACCCTGTCGCATGATGCACTCGTCAGCACTTCCTCTCTCTCTCTGTCTCCTCCTTCTTATCGTCTCTCATATCACAGAAGAACAAAGAAACAGACAAGAATTTAGAAGATTTTTCGGCCCATCCTAATGATCGCCTCGTTAGAGGGCTTCCATAGATTCGCAATGTCCTAATTTGTATACATTTACCTTGGCCTTATTCCTTCATTCTATTCTTCAATAGTTATAGACACTCCCCCCTGTTTGCATAGTTACCAGCGCAAACAAATTTAGAATTTTAGAACGGACTCCTATCCCACAGCAAATAACAGCTAAATCTGCACACATAAGTCTTTTAAACGGTACATGTCTCCAGCGCACACACCCATAAGCAAGCGAACCAACCAGCGCACAAAATTGTGAGAAATCTCACCTTATGAGCCGGCGTCTTGAGCGGGAGTCACTTCGCAGCACATGAATGGAACACTGGAGAGACGCATCACGTCCCAAACGTACCTCGTCGCCATTTCTGTTGTATCTAAATAATAATGCTAATTATGCTGTGAGACCAAGGAGTCCGCTTACACTACTTTGATTATAAAAGGTTTATTTATATCACAAGATTTCAGCGTAAGTTTACAGACATCTGCAGGCATCTGGAGAACAACGACCCAAAATAATATGTTGTTCTGTCCTCCTTTGTCTCAACCAAGTATTTATAATCTTTAACATGATATGGGTGGTTTCCCTAGAGACCAATCCCATGACTCCACACAACAGACTTCCTCTGTTTTATGGGGTGCCCCTATAAAACTGCTCCCCAGATGCTTCCCTAAGCTGAATAAACATCCTCTAAGATACCATTTGCAAACGTTAGCAATGTCATAAATTCCTTAGACACCACAGCTGTAACCAGGGTTCCATCCAACCTGTTCTGCGAGTGCATGACAGATATAAAACATGTCATGACAGGCCTGATGGAAACAGACAATATTTCGGTAAAGGCCTTTGCAGAAGTGAAATGGAACTGTTCAATTTTATGCCATGTCTAAATGTGTCTTCTCTACGGCCTGCTCTGCTATTTGCATGATCAATCATCAACGCTAAGGGTGGGGACAGACAGCAAATCTCATACGGAGCGCAGAAAATGCATGTATCATCTCATCAGCTGGTAACTTTTTTTTCTTGTTACAGGTACATTTGCTGCAGCATCGCCTATGCTACAGTAATATTGGGACTAATATATCTGAAAGCACATCTCATTTACACATCTCCATCTGGCTTTCAAGGGTCACCTTATTTTTTTGGGAGAGATGTTTTTTTATTTATTGCAGCTGCAGAGGTTTAAAAGTGCCTACCACTCGAATATCGTTGCTTTAAATCAGTGCGCACGTGAGCACTCCGTCTTTCTTTCCATCAATTCCATTCAAATTGCATCCAAAATAGATAGTGTTAAGTTGCGTCAATTCAAATCTGGTATTGGAACAAAAAGAGCACAGGCTGGTCCCAGCCTCTTGGCGCTTCACTGTTGCCAGGTGTTTAGTTGTTTTGCAACTTGTCCAGAGAGTCAGCACTTTTGCAGTACACATGTCCTTGAGCGGTCTAACAAAGAGGCAGCGTGTGTGTGTCTGTGAGACACAAGTCTTATCTCATCCTACTCCCTAACAGTTCCTCACATGAATCACAGCTTGTTATGTTGACCAGTCTATATCAGTACAGTACAAACCTATTATGTTTAATCATTAATGCTTTCTTATTAAGCTAACAGCACATCTAAAATATAAGAGAATAATTTCCCACAATAGTCCTGTTCATAGATATGCTATATAGATACAGTCTATAGATGTCCTAGCCTACGTCTTTTAGGTAATACATTCAATGCAGTATTAGCCTGATATTTAGCTAATTAATGATGGGTTAATGTGCATAAGCTTCAAACTTAGCCTCTGTCTTCACTCTTGCGCAATATGCACCTGCTCTCCGCTGGCCTCTCTCCTTAGCTCTTGTGGAGTCCCAGGAAAAGCTAGACTAGAACATCCTATTGGACATTTTTTGTTGTTGTTGCATTTCTTATACTAATAGGAAGAGAGAAGCAAGCCTGCTCTTGTCTTAAATACAGCAGCCAAAAGAGCTGGCGGGGAGTTTGAAAGAAGAGAACACGCGATGTGGCTATTGCAGATATTTAGTCAGACCCATAATGATTCAATCACCTTGAAGAGAAGTGAAAGTCGTCTGCATCTAATTTAGTCCTATATTATTCAAGCATGTCATTACAGTGATGAAGATGAGGATAACAAAACGTATTTTATTTAACTGTGGAGAGCGAGGAAGGAATGAAGCAACACAGGAGTTAATACGCACGTCGCACAACATTAGGGGAAATATTATGAAAGGTAGGCTAATGCTAATTATACACAATTAAAATAGGCCCTATTATATTTCAAAATTAAAATCGCTAGCCTATAATTGTAACTTTGTAGACCACATGTCCAGCACCAGAATCACAGGTTCTCTCCCAGCTTCATGGTTTGAACGAGGTGCGTAATTCTAGTCCATATAATACAGTACAGTAATACAGTTCACACTCAATAAGATTACTGGAGCTTGTTTAATTTATTTCACCAAGAGACTATACATCTATGGGCTTGAATGTTTTTCTTTGTTGCGTAGCTTATCATATGTAATGGATAACGGCACAATCATTTGGGCTTTTTTGGGCTTGGGCTCATAAAATGTCTTTAATGTAGGGCTCATTTGACTCAGGTAGCATCTGGCTTGAATGTTCATTCCGATCAAAGCTCAAATCAAATCCAGACATATTTATATGCTTTATAATTACACTTACGGTTTTGCCTGGAAATACCAGGTTACCCTGGGAAAAAATGATTTATTCTCATGATGGAACATTTTGTAAAACACCGGGAAAACATGAAATAAAAAAATAAGCAGCTCCATGACAAGAGAAAAAGGAAAGGATGGTCCAAGCAGTTTTTAAAAAAAAGATTGTTTTTATTGATGTCATCACGTGTCTCATGTATAATCATTTACAGAACACACAAAACTCTTCTTCGATTTTTTTGGTTTTCACATTTCACATATTTTTTAAACGTTTTTTTGTTGTTGCCTTTTTTGCTTTGTCGCACTATTTACATTTTGAGAAGGTTGACTGAGATCCAGGGATGGTTATTACTGAGTGTTGGTCGGTGATGGATGGATCGGGATGGGGACAGTGCATGTGTGCGTGCATGTGAGTGAATATGCCAAAACCTATCCACAGAAACCTCTTCAACCAGACCTGCAATAATCTTTTAAACTGTACGGAAAAACAAACTCACAACTAGGGTTGCAAAATTGCGGTAACTTTCACAAAATGTAGAAGTTTTCCAGAAATCCTGGGTGGAGAGTTTGCAACCCTACTAACAACTCACTCTCTCACAACCCTACTCATACATTATTTTTAACTGACATCTCTCTCTCTAGGTACTGAGCATTGGTTGGTTGTGGGGGGGGTTATATGTGTTTGAAGTTAGGGGTTATTGGGGTTGTTAGGGTAGGATTTATTCAAAGGCAGGTTGCAGAGCTGCGAACTACACTACCGACAATGAGCCTTTTAAAGACTATTTCCCAGTCGTTCGCGGAGATCACATTCATGGTTTACACAGCGGATTTCAGCTCAATCGTAAAATACCTTTAAAAGTCAAGTGCAATGTGCTTGATGCTAACACCTTTGATTGAATCTTGGCCTGGCTGTGTATATAAGGGCAGTAAAGCTATTGTGCAGTGGGTGTAGGGGTGTGGTGGTGTATGTGGATGGTGGCATTGTTGATCTGTGTGTGTGGGCTGTTAGTGTGTTGTCGTGGTGTGTGTGTGTGTTAGGCTGTGCCGTTGGTGTACTTGGAGAGTTTATTCTCCAGGTCACAGATTCTCTTCTCCTGAGACAGAACTGTCGCCTTGAGATTCTGAACTTCTTCCAACAACCGCTCTACCAACTGAGGCTGGGGAGGGGGAGAGAGGGGAGAGAGGGGAGGGGGAGGGGGAGGGGAAAGAGCAAGGGAAAGAGGGAAGGGGAGAAAAAGGTAGGAGAAGGAAAGGAAGGAAGAAAAAAGGAACAAGAGGAAAGATAGGTCAGGGACAGGCAGCTACAGGAAAACACCAGGCAGCTACAGGAAAACACCAGGCAGCTACAGGAAAACAACAGGCAGCTACAGGAAAACACCAGGCAGCTACAGGAAAACACCAGGCAGCTACAGGAAAATACCAGGCAGCTACAGGAAAACACCAGGCAGCTACAGGAAAACACCAGGCAGCTACAGGAAAACAACAGGAACACAGCAGGCAGCTACTGGAAAACAACAGGCAGCTACAGGAAAACAACAGGCAGCTACAGGAAAACAACAGGAACACAACAGGCAGCTACAGGAAAACAACAGGCAGCTACAGGAAAACAACAGGCAACTACTGGAAAACAACAGGCAGCTACAGGAAAATAACAGGAAAACAACAGGCAGCTACAGGAACACAAAAGGCAGCTACAGGAAAACAACAGGAACACAAAAGGCAGCTACAGGAAAACAACAGGAAAAGAACAGGCAGCTACAGGAAAACAACAGTAACACAACAGGAAAACAACAGGCAGCTACAGGAAAACAACAGGCAGCTACAGGAAAACAACAGGCAGCTACAGGAATACAACAGGCAGCTACAGGAATACAACAGGCAGCTACAGGAATACAACAGGAAGCTACAGGAATACAACAGGCAGCTACAGGAAAACAACAGGCAGCTAAAGGAAAACAACAGGAAAACAACAGGCAGCTACAGGAATACAACAGGCAGCTACAGGAATACAACAGGCAGCTACAGGAATACAACAGGAAAACAACAGGAAGCTACAGGAAAACAACAGGAATACAACAGGCAGCTACAGGAATACAACAGGCTACAGGAAAACAACAGGAAGATACAGGAAAACAACAGGCATCTGCAGGAATACAACAGGCAGCTACAGGAAAACAACAGGAAAACAACAGGCAGCTACAGGAAAATAACAGGAAAATAACAGGCAGCTACAGGAAAACAACAGGAAAATAACAGGAAAATAACAGGAAAATAACAGTAAGCAGAATTTCTAAAGATCAGAATAATTAAGTAAAGGAGAGAGAGAGATGGGACCGGTGGAGAGGTTTGAGAGAGAGAGAGAGAGAGGAGAAATTAGAGAATGAGAGTTTTTAGACAAACAGATAAAGGGGTGATTATATCCATAGTGACACACAGGCAGGTTGGTGGTCAGGGTTAGACAGACAGACAGACAGACAGACAGACAGAGTGTGACTCACAGGCAGGTTGGCTGAGCCGTCGCAGGAGGACATGCTGCGTCTGGTGGTGGGTCTGGAGTCCAGAACGTTCTTCTTGGCCACTTTTAGCTCACGGCTCTTGGGTGGAACATAGCCATCTCTCAAGGACTGGAGGATGGGGTCCTCATCTCGCCCCTCCAGCCACTCCTCTGGCTCCAGGGCCGGGTCGGGACCCGCCGTGTCTGGGTACAGGTCATCCTGAAACAGGTCCGACTGGAGGGGGGGGGGGGAGGGAGTGAGAGAGTGGAGGGGGAGGGAGAGTGAGGAGAGTGGGAGGGGGAGAGAGAGGGAGAGAGGGAGGGAGAGAATGGAGAGGGAGAGAGGAGGGAGGGAGGGGGAGGGAGAGAAGGAGAGGGAGGGAGGGAGAGAAGGAGGGAGGGAGGGAGAGAAGGAGAGGAGGGAGAGAAAGTTTTAACAAGCTGTAAATGTAGAGAGAGAGAGAGAGAGAGAGAGAGACTTACCTTTCTAGGCACTGTCATGGCGATGGGCTCACACTTCTTGTCATGGAGCTTATATAACCTGGAGAACAGAGGAGAGTTCGAGAATAGCCACAACAAACACTTGAGTGTGTGACTGTGTGTGTGTGTGTGCGTCTGTGTGTGTGTGTGTGTGCAGTCTCCTACCTGGCGATCTCACACTTGCTGACGTCCACCCCTCTCTTAGGCATGAAGCCCATCCCCCTCTGAGGCTCCTTGCTGCTGAAGGTACTGAGGTAGTGGACATAGGGAGGCTCCTCTGTTATCTCAAAGTACCGTATACTACTGTCCCCCTGGAGAGGAGAGGAGAGGAGGAGAAGAGAGGAGAAGAGAGGAGGAGAGGAGAGGAGAGGAGAGGAGAGGAGAGGAGAGGAGAGGAGAGGAGAGGAGAGGAGAGGAGAGGAGAGGAGAGGAGAGGAGAGGAGAGGAGAGGAGAGGAGAGGATTTACAGTAGTAGCCGTATAGAGGCAGTAGTAGTATCAAGGTAATGGATAATATTGTTACTGTACACAGAGAGTGAGGAGTTTCTACCTTTCCACAGAGGTAAACCATGTTGGTGTCTGGGTCGTAGTAAGGTAACAACACACCGTTACTTGTGTCCAACTCCAGCAGTGCAATAGGCTCCTCAAAGTGTGTCTGGGAGGAGCAGAGAAAATAAGGACAAGATGAGAGAAGAGGGACGAGAGGACCAATGTTCACTGTCCTTCAAGAGGAAGGGAGATATGAGTGTGCATACATGTGTGCCCATACGTGTCAACTGTGTGTGTGCGCATATGTGAGTGCACTTGTGTTTGAGCGTGCCTGTGCATGTGTACGTGTCAACTGTGTGTGTGTGCGCATACGTGCGTGCACTTGTGTTTGAGCGTGCGTGTGTGTGTGTGTGTGTGTGTGTGTTACCGGGTCCCACAGGCCCAGCTCTCTCTGGCTCATCCTGGTGAAGCCGGTAGTGAACAGGTTTCCGTCTCTGGTAAAGATGGCCCTCATTGGTCGGATCCCCTCGTGTGGAGCCATCCTCTCCTATTGGACAGAATGGACACGCCAGACATCACTAACAGAGTACAGAGCACCCATAGCGGTAGAAAGAGGACTCATCATGGCTTCTGTGAAAGCACAGGCAGTCCCATTGAGGCTAGGGCTGCACGACATGGACAGAATATCTACACTGAACAAAATTATAAGCGCAACATGTAAAGTGTTGGTTTCATGAGCTGAAATAAAAGATCCCAGAAATGTTCCATACGCACAAAAAAGCTTATTTCTCTCAATATTTGTGCACAAATTTGTTTACATCCCTGTTAGTGAGCATTTCTCCTTTGCCAAGATAATCCATCCATCTGACAGGTGTGACATATCAAGGAACTGATTAAACAGCATGATCATTAAACAGGTGCAATAATAGGCCACTCTAAAATGTGCAGTTTTGTCACACAACACAATGCCACAGACGTCTCAAGTTTTGAGGAAGCGTGCAATTGGCATGCTGACTGCAGGAATATCCACCAGAGCTGTTGCCAGAGAATTTAATGTTCATTTGTCTATCATAAGCCGCCTCCAATGTCGTTTTAGAGAATTCGGCAGTACGTCCAACCGGCCTCACATTGCAGACCACGTGTAACAATGCCAGCCCAGGACCTCCACATCCGGCTTCTTCACCTGCGGGATCATCTGAGACCAGCCACCCGGACAGCTGATGAAACTGTGGGTTTGCACAACCAAAGAATTTCTGCACAAACTGTCAGAAACCGTCTCAGGGAAGTTCATCTGCATGCTCATCGTCCTCACCAGGGTCTTGACCTGACCGCAGTTTGGCGTCGTAACCGACGTACTTTTGGTCAGGTATGGCGTCGGGTGGGCGAGCGGTTTGCTGATGTCAACGTTGTGAACAGAGTGCCCCATGGTGGCGGTGGGGTTATGGTATGAGCAGGCAGGCATAAGCTATGCCCATACCAATTGCATTTTATCGATGGCAATTTAAATGCACAGAGATACCATGACGAGGTTCATTGTCGCGTCACCTCATGTTTCAGCACGACAATGCACGGCCCCATGTCACAAGCTGAAAATTTCCCAGTTCGTCCATGGCCTGCATACTCACCAGACATGTCACCCATTGAGCAGGTTTGGGATGCTCTGGATCGACGTGTACGACAGCGTGTTCTAGTTCCCGCTAATATCCAGAAACTTCGCACAGCCAGTGAAGAGGAGTGGGACAACATTCCAAAGGCCACAATCAACAGCCTGATTAACTCAATGAGAAGGAGATGTGTCGCGCTGCATGAGGCAAATGGTGGTCACACCAGATACTGACTGGTTTTCTGATCCATGCCCCTACTTTTGTTAAAAGTTTTCTGTGACCAACAGATCAAATCAAATTTGATTGGTTGCATACACATATTAAGCAGATGTTATTGCGGGTGTCATGTTGTATAATGATTAGAAGCCAGGCACAGGAATACGTATTAGGGTTTTTATTACTCCACCCAACACAAGGTACGTCACGAAAAACGATGGGGACGAAGCCCAAAACAAACACGTACAGTGCTATGAAAAAGTATTTACCCCCTTTCTAATTTTCTCTACTTTTGTATATTTGTGATACTGAATGTTATCAGATCTTCAACCAAAACCTAATATTAGATAAAGGGAACATAAGTGAACAAATAACACAACAATTACATATTTATTTCATAAACAAAGTTATGCAACACCCAATTCCCCTGTGTGAAAAAGTAATTGCCCCCTTACACTCAATAACTGGTTGTGCCACCTTTAGCTGCAATGACTGCAACCAAATGCTTCCTGTAGTTGTTTATCAGTCTCTCACGTCGCTGTGGAGGAAATTTGGCCCACTCTTCCATGCAGAACTGCTTTAACTCAGTGACATGTGGGTTTTCAAGCATGAACTGCTCGTTTCAAGTCCTGCCACAACATCTCAATTGGGATTAGGTCTGGACTTTGACTAGGCCATTCCGAAACTTCCAATTTGTTGCTTTTTAGCAATTTTCATGTAGACTTGATTGTGTGTTTTGGATCATTGTCTTGCTGCATGACCCAGCTGCGCTTCAGCTTCAGCTCACAGACGGATGGTCTGACATTCTCCTGTAGAATTCTCTGATACAGAGCAGAATTCATGGTTCCTTCTATTAAGGCATGTCGTCCAGGTCCTGAGGCAGCAAAGCATCCCCAAACTATCACACCACCACCACCATGCTTGACCTTTGGTATGATGTTCTTACTGTGGAATGCATTGTTTGGTTTTCGCCAGGCATAATGGGACCCATCTCGTCCAAAAAGTTGACTCAAGTTTGCCAAAAAGCACCTGGATGATCATCAAGACTCTTGGAAGAACGTTCTATGGACAGATGATTCAAAAGTATAACTTTTTGGACGACATGGTTCCAGTAATGCCTGGCGAAAACCAAACTCTGCATTCCACAGTAAGAACATCATACCAAAGGTCAAGCATGGTGGTGGTGGTGTGATGGTACCGGGGGGATCCGTGACAGTGTAGAGAAATGCTTGTGTTCCTAGTTCCAACAGTGCAGTAATATCTAACAATACACACAAATCTAAAAGTAAAATAATTGAATTAAGAAATATAAAAATATTAGGACGAGCAATGTCAGCGTCCGGAGTATAAATAAATATATATATACACTACATGACCAAAAGTATGTGGGCACCTGCTCGTCGAACATCTCATTCCAAAAACATGGGCATTAATATGGAGTTGGTCCCCCCTTTGCTGCTATAACAGCCTCCACTCTTCTGGGAAGGCTTTCCACTAGATGTTGGAACATTGCAGTGGGGACTTGCTTCCATTCAGCAGCGAGCATTAGTGATGTCGGGTACAGATGTTGGGTAATTAGGCCTAGCTTGCAGTCTGCATTCCAATTCATCCCAAAGGTGTTCGATGGGGTAGAGGTCAGGGCTCTGTGCAGGCCGGTCAAGTTCTTCCACACCGATCTCGACAAACCATTTCTGTATGGACCTCGCTTGTGCACGGGGGCATTGTCATGCTGAAACAGGAAATGGCCTTCCCAAACTGTTGCCACAAAGTTGGAAGCACAGAATCGTCTAGAATGTCATTGTATGCTGTAGCTTTAAGATTTCCCTTCACTGGAACGAAGGGGCCTAGCCCGAACCATGAAAAACAGCCCCAGACCATTATTCCTCCTCCACCAAATTTTACAGTCGGCATTATGGATTTGGGCAGGTAGCGTTCTCCTGGCATCCCCCAAACCCAGATTTGTCCGTCGGACTGCCAAATGGCAAAGCGTGATTCATCACTCCAGAGAACGCATTTCCACTTCTCCAGAGTCCACCAGAGGCGAGCTTTACACCAGTCCAGCCGACGCTTGGCATTGAGCATGGTGAACTTAGGCTTGTGTGCGACTGCTCGGCCATGGAAACCCATTTCATGAAGCTCCAAACGAACAGTTCTTGTGCTGACGTTGCTCCCAGAGGCAGTTTGTAACTCGGTAGTGAGTGTTGCAACTGAGGACAGACGGTTTTTACACGCTACGTGCTTCAGCACTCGGCGGTCCCATTCTGTGAGCTTATGTGGCCTACCACTTCGCGGCTGAGCCGTTGTTGCTCCTAGATGTTTGCACTTCACAATAACAGCACTTACAGGTGACCGGGGCAGCTCTAGCAGGAAATACATTTGATGAACTCACTTGTTGGAAAAGGTGTCATCCTATGACGGTGCCACGTTGAAAGTTACTGAGCTTTTCAGTAGGGCCATTCTACTGCCAATGTTTGTCTATGGAGATTGCATGGCTGTGTGCTCGATTTTATACACCTGTCAGCAATGGATGTGGCTGAAATAGCCGAATCCACTAATTTGAAGGGGTGTCCACATACTTTGTATATATATATATATATATATATATATATATATATATAGATATATATATATATATATATATATATATATATATATATATATATATATATATATATATATATATATATATAGTACCAGTCAAAAGTTTGGACACACCTACTCATTTAAGGGTTTTTCTTTATTTTTACTATTTTATACATAGTAGAATAATAGTGAAGACATCAAAACTATGAAATAACACATATGGAATCATGTAGTAACTAAAAAAGTGATAAACAAATCAAAATTTATTTTATATTTGAGATTCTTCAAATATCCACCCTTTGCCTTGATGACAGCTTTGCACACTCTTGGCATTCTCTCAACCAGCTTCACCTGGAATGCTTTTCCAACAGTCTTGAAGGAGTTCCCACATATGATGAGCAGTTGTTGGCTGCTTTTCCTTCACTCTGCCGTCCGACTCATCCCAATTGGGTTGAGGTCAGGGGATTGTGGAGGCCAGGTCATCTGATGCAGCACTCCATCACTCTCCTTCTTGGTTAAATAGCCCTTACACAGCCTGGAGGTGTGTTGGGTCATTGTCCTGTTGAAAAACAAATGATAGTCCCACTAAGCCCAAACCTGATGGGATGGCGTATCGCTGCAGAATGCTGTGGTAGCCATGCTGGTTAAGTGTGCCTTGAATTCTAAATAAATCATAGACAGTGTCACCAGCAAAGCACCCCCACACCATAACACCTCCTCCTCCATGCTTTACGGTGTGAACTACATATGCAGAGATCATCCG